CAATATATAGAAGAAACGAAAAGGAAAAAAAAGGGGAAGGACGTTCCACATTCTAACTGGGAAAAGTTTAGAGGACGTAAGATCGTAAGATGAGGACGAAGCGGAAAAACAGAATAGGATGACGACATACGAGCCCCAACGGGCAATAAAAGCCGAAGGAGTCGAGCTCGAGACTGCAACTAAGCTGAAGTAAAAGCCGAGAGGACGAACGCAAAACATTCAATTGGACACAATCAAAAAGAAGCAAAAAAGCGGTCACATTTCAATGACAAAAGGGAGACCCCAACTTCCAGGAAAAGGATGAAAGTAAGGCCTGACAAGAAAGATATAGGAAATGAAGGCGAAGTCCAGACGCAAAGGAAGGGAAAGCAAAGAAGAAACATGGACAGGATGCCTTCCAAACGCCGCCCGGTGGGTGGGCGAGAGGATACCCAGAGGATATCAACAGGATGACCAAACCGAAATCGGAGAAAACACGACAAGAAGAGAAGAAGGGATTCCGCGCCATGGGTTCCCAAAAAAGAGCAAAAGGTAGGCCACAACGGCTCGTCGTGCTCAAAGAAAGGACAGAAGAGAAACAAAAAGGAAGGACCCTCCTTCCAGAGCTTTCAACCACAACGTAAGAAGAAAGAGAAGAAAGAAACATGGACAGGCTGCCTGCTAAACGACGCTGACGCCTGGAGGTTATGACAGGGAAGACACACAGCAAAGTCGCCGAAGCGCATGGGAACGCGACAAGAAGGGGGGAAGTGAACTGCACAAATAAGAAAGCACACAACACCTCGCCGCGGCTCAAAGAAAGACAGCCTCCACCCAACCGGCACGAAGGAAAGTTGTTATAGGCGGAAGCGTGGAAATGAAAGTGGGGAAATCAACCTGGAAGACGCTGGTTGTTTCCGGGAAATGGGAAATGGAGTATAATGTGATGGGTAAGGCGAAAACTCTCCAAATGGTCATGATTGAAGGAAAATTTGACGGAACAGGGAGAGCCAGAATGAAGTCATGGCAGAAAATAGGTGAACAAATGTGCAAGATAGGATGCCCTCGTTGGCGGCTACGCTTGCTTGGTGTGGGAAAGTCCATGTTATGGGCGGGGGTGACGATAAGGCGGCAATGAGGTGTGTGATAAGAAGGGCGGGCGCAAGGCGGTCGATAACAAAAGAAAAGAAAAAGAATGGTACGAAAGAAACAGAAGGGAAACGAAAAGAAAGAAACGTACGGTTCATCCTCCAGCTCAATAATAACCAAATCCGTCTGATCCGGTAAATGGTGCGAGTTGCAGTACCCAAAGTATCCCGAATTCGTGCGTCGCAGGGCGCCATTCGTCAATTCCGTCGTCGGGTGTGGAAAGACGGTGTTCCACCATTGGAAGAAGCGGGATGGGTAGCACGTCCCCTGCTCCGTGGCATGCTGACACTGCCGGGGCGGTCGTATGTGAGTTTGTGCAAAGAGCAAGAGGAAGGGGAAGGGCAAGGGAAAAGGGGATACATACCTGAGTCGCCAAGAACAGAGATATGTAGCAGCACTTTGACCCGCCAGCGCCTCATCCAACACCCTCTGAATCCTGACCAGGTGCATCCCAAGTGCATCCTCTTCGAAAGCGTAACTGCGCCATACTTTGCGCCGACCTTATCCCCCGAACAGCAACTGGGACAAAAGTCGAATGCGCTTGTGATGAATTAATGACGGCTTCACTTGAGTTGAGGTAATTCTCGGCTTTTAGATCTGCGTTCAAGTAGTTTGGTATCGATGAAGTGGATTGGCGTTAAAAGGAGAAGGATGGAGAAGACTGAGAGACGTCCTTCGAGAAGAGGAGGGGGGAAGGAGAAGAAGGGGAAAGGCAGCCCATTGTGGGTGAGCGCTTGAGTTGTGAAAGAGAGGAGAGATGGGGTTGGTCTGGAAGAGATTTGACAAGAAAGGAGTGTGAAAGCAACAATTCAAATATTCAAGTCCAGTGTGTGACGCGTCCAAACGTTTGATGCGCCAACGTGACCAACCACGACTTGCTGGGTTGCCTTTATCCTTACAATGAACCAGTCGAACTCATTTATTCTGTGATAGCAAGCGTCGAGATAGTACGGTTGGACTAGGTTCTCGTGAATCGTTAACCAGCTCGACGCGCAAGTTCATGAGCCAGGTGTTCTCTTGACCGAAACTCGCTAATCTCACATCCTTTTCCGTGCAAAACCGCAAACGCATCTCCTGTGTGCTCTACGGCACTTGGCTGATCTCCCATCCACAAGGCTCCGATAGCTCGACAGCCTGATCATTTCCGCCAGCAGCTCTACCAATAACAATCGAACTTCTGTGAAATCGTCCGCCAAAGTGGGCCGGCGAGGCCACACTGGATCGACGATGACCACAGCCTCTTTCTTGAGGTCGTTGCCTGCCACCACTCTTTATAGAACGTCGTCCGCCAAGCTGGAGCATCTGTGGAGTGGGATGAAGAGGGCCTCGGGATCGTGAGGCGAGAAAGGAAGCTACGATCTTGGATATCAAGAATATAGAAATGACCGTGAGCCAACACACGAGGAGGCCTACAAGATGATGCCAGCTCGGTTCGTGAACATATATGGTGGTGCACAACTGGGACAGTGCTTCGGTCGAGATTCCGGTATGATGTTCAATGTCGAAGCTTTAGAAAAACGTTGGATCTATGTCGCGCCACCCCCGTCAAACGAGAAAAGCCGCAGGACGGAGATGGGGTTGCAAGTGAACCAGCGCTAACGCCACTTGGAAGATCAGTGCTTGAGATGGCGTGGTTTGGGGGTATAGCCTTGACAAGCTTTGCATCGGCCTAGGGACGAAAACGAAAGCTGATGGGGCCGTGTATGTTCACCGCTGCAGGTTGCCGCTAGGCCCTAAGGTAACCTGCTGCAAGATAGTGGGTGTAGCTGGAAGGGGTCCATTCCGTATGCACAGGCACTAACGCGTGTTGAAGTGGGTGTATATAGTACAATTTTGAATGCACAACAAATCCTGACTGCCCTGGACGAAGTCAATCAAAGCACTGTGCTGAGTGATCCCGTTCTGCACGCAAAGATGTTTGAAGCTCGAACGCGCGCGTTCAAGAGAGTATGTATGTAGTACAATTTGGATGCACAGCGAAAACAATACGCTCTGCAAGAAATCAGTCAAAGCACTGTGATGAGCGCTTCCTTTGGGAGGCTTAATCATCAACTCCGCCTGTTGCCTACGGACAAAACATCAGAGCTCAGCAGAACAAGAATAAAACAATCAAACAACATACAACCGCATACGCAAAAGCAGCTTCCTATTCGTCGCCTGCATACTCTTCCCGGCTTTAATCGTACGCGCGAAAAGCTCCGCACGATAATCTGTCTTCTTAGCTTGCAAGATCTATCCAACAGCGTCGGTTTGTGGGTCCGATGGTATCAGGGAAAAGAGGAAGCTGACCTTGTTCTGGCTATCGACCCGGGCTTGTATAGCCCCACTTTGTATCAACGCAACGACTTGCTGCTCGACCTCCTCGACGGTCCACCCAAACGCAGCGCTCATCCGCTCGAGCTTGATAGTGGCGAAGGGCTGGAAGTACAGCACCACGGCCTAGTTCCGAATAAGGTTCGTCAAGTCATGTACATGCGAGCAGAGGTGGATATCGACGTAGTGACGTCTGATATATCATGTTAGTCAAATGATCGTTTCAAAAAATGAAGGAAGCACGTACGGAGTACCGCGACAAGAGCTCCAGAACAGTCTTGAAATCGCTGTTCATGTAAGCTTCGATCAACTCCCGAATATACGGCTCTTGCTCAATATAAGCCCCAAAGATCGAGTTCTCAAGGACCCGGCTCTTGATTGCCGAACGAGAGAAGCTGGCGAGAGCGCAGAGGGTGCCAAAGATCGCGATATCGCCCGGGGCTATAAGCTACATCCACCACGTCAGGATACTCATAACTCCAGTCAGACAAACGAACCTTGCCAACCCAATCCCCCAAATCCTTCGCCGGGCCCAACTTCAAGAAACACTGAGCAGCCTTCTCGTAGTTAGCTTGCCCCAGATACGACAGTGCGCTCGCTAAGTCTAGCTTGGATTGATAGGTGTCCCTTTCTGCTGACGATCCACTGCCAAGAGTGCCCTTTTTCTTCGCTGCACCGGCAGCGGTGGTGGCCATCGCCAAATCGCCGCCGTTGTTGGATGAAGAGGCTGCGGCGGATGCGGCAGAGTCGAGAGCTGCATCAGCTTTGAAAACGTAAGTTGTTAGATGGGAGTAGTTGCGTTGTTCGATCATGAGCTGAAGGAATTGGAAGGAAGCAGAATCAGCATACAAATCCAACAGTAGACTCAATGACTCGTACCTCGAGTATAGAGAGACACATGTCGAGGACATACTGACTGGTAGTGCAGAACTCGCGTGACTTTGTGTAATGTTTCAGCGAAGTGGCATAGTCCCCCGTAGACCTATAAATCACCCAAATCGCGATGGGCCATCTTCACCGTCATTCAGCCTTGAGAAAAATCCTCGAAAAGAAAGCACATACCCTAATGCTCTCCTTGATCATGTTATTGCTATAAGTCTTTAGTTCGACTTCCAACTTTGTCCGCTCCGCCTGATTTTTCGCCAGTTATGTTAGTCATCATGGCCCAATAGTGATGGGCCACCCGGCCCTGACAAACAACCATGTGGTAAGGGCCCAGCCGGCCCGGCCGGTTTGATGGTGGGGCCCCAATATGGAAGGGGCGGCCAGACCCTGTACAATCACCCAGTAACCATGGGCTGGCCATCAGCAACAATGCCCCATATGATTGGAGTAGCCGGGTGTACCTTGACTGCCATATCCTCCTGCGGAGCTGCCCTCTGCCGGGGCTGAATATTGCACCGGCGGTCATGATCATAATGAACACTTGGAATTACAAGCCTGGCTCATACAAATCATGCATAATATTGTCAATCTATGTATGTTGTTTGCTATGATTTGATTGGAGCTACTAAGCACTGCACATTGCCTCCAAAAGAAATGATAACATTTTTATAATGTTCTGTCAGGAGAGGCTTCATGCATTTCCTTTGCCAAAAGTGTTTAGTTCAACCAGTGAGGCAAATGTTTCACCACTGGTGATGTAATTTTTTTATGATAC